CTCAGGAACAGGTTTGAGGCCTTGAACACTAACGAGCGAAGACCAGATGAGTTGTGGGAGGATGTCAAAGATATCATTCAGGAAGAGTGTAAATGGTCATTACAAAGACAGAAGAGGAAGAAAAGACCAAAATGGATGTCAGAAGAAACTCTGAAGATTGCACTGGAGCGTCCTTTACGTACACTTTGAAATATTTAGTACTCTTCTCCACCACCACCATAATTCTTCCATCATCCTCATTGATAGTCCAACTTTCAGTTTCATAACACGTAACTGGAAAGATCATTCTGCTTAAAGCCCAACTGCTCGAACGATTTGTTCTGCATATCCATTGAATAGGTATGAAGAAAGGATACAACTTTTACACACACCTTTTCTAATTTTAAACTATGAAATGTTCCCTTTCTCTGTATGGACAACAGATTCCTAGTCCAGGTATGGCATGAGCCCAATTAGGCGTTCTGGGATTCCTATTCTTCTCAAAGTCAGCCATAATTTGTTATGATCCACAAAGTCAACTGTCAACAAAACACAGATAGTCATCCTCATATTCTTTGCTTTCAGCCAAGGTCTATCTGACTTCAGCAATGAGGCCCCTCGTTTCACACCTTCTTCTAAATCCACCCTGGATTTCGAGATTTAGGCCTGATAAAGTATAGGGTCAGCAGTATTGATTTTGTGTTGAGATTGTTTTGTGCTGTCAAGGCGATTAGGACTCATAATAAGCCTATTGAACAGTAGATCTGAATGAACCTTGTCCTATCCTGTACCATCTTCATCTCCAACACACTCATTGCTACCATGATTGTGTTAGTATTTCTTGTCGTGAGTCTTCCTCTAGTATGTTGACCCTCCACATTCCCAAGTGTGAGTCATTCTCCAAGGAATGGCCCAAAGAATATGAGATGTTTTACTATGGTTGCCTCCAAGGAGCACTCTAATTTCACTTTCTCCAAAGCAGACTTATTTGTTCTCTTGTCAGCCCATGTAATATGAAGTCACTTTCTCCTTCACCACCACTCTTTGGCATCTATTCTTTTGTCATCGTAGTCACTGTTCAATCTTCAGATAAATAGCAAGCAATTGAGAAGATCTGTGTTTGGATTGGCACACTTTTGTCTTCAAACAAATATGTCTTGGAGAAAGTACAGCCAGAGTGCTCCTTGGAGGCAAGGATAATAAAGCTTTGTCTCACATACTTGGGGCATGTTGCCCAGGGAGGCTATTCCTTGGAGAGGGATATCATGCTTGGAAAGGTGAAGGGTCAGGAAAAGAAAGGAGCCCCTTAACCAGGTGGGTCGACACAGTAACTGCTGCAATAGGATCTAATGTGTCAGGAAGGAAGTATGAGGGTGGCACAGGATAGGAGAAGATTCGAATCTATTGTTCATAGGGTCACTATGGGTTATACTCAACTTGATGGCACCTAACAACAACTAAAGTCTTCAAACTGACATCATTACTCTTCATTATTATGGAAAAGTTTCTGACAGCAGATTTTCCCCATGTGTTATGCCTTTTGATTTTTTTATTTTAATGAAAGTTTACAGAGACTTAAGGTTTACAGTCATTCATTGTTGCACTTGTCTTGATTTCTTCACTGCTGGTACCAAGGGTGTTGACTATGGATCCAAGTAAGATAAGATCATTGACAACTTCAATTATTTCTCCATCTATCATGCTGTTGCCTCTTTGTACAGTGATAATGATTTTCGTTTTCTTCATTTTATTTTATTTTATTATTATTTTTATGTGAGTGTACCGTCAAATCAGATCTGACTGGTACAGGAGGAGACTGCCCCTCCTTCCCCGGCAGAGCATCTGGTGGATTCCAACCGTGCGCCTCTCGGATTGTAGTTGCAGCTCCTTGCCACTAGGCCACCAGAGCTCCCCTGATTTTCGTTTTCTTGATGTTTAGATGTAATCCATATTGAAGGGTCCAGTCACTGATCTTCTGCAACAAATGATTCAAGTCCTCTTCACTTTCAAAAGTAAGAAAGGTTGTGTCATCTGCATAAAGTAAGCTGTTGATAAGTCTTCATCCAATCCTGATGCCACATTCTTCTTTATAAAATGGGTAAGTATGTTGTTGTCAGGTGCCATAGAGGATAATACTATTCATACTCACCTAATGAACAATGGATTTGAACCTTGTATCCTGTGCCTTCCTCATCATTTCTGCTACACGAGAGCCCATTGCTACAGTCGTTGTGTCAAGTCATCTGGTTCTTCCCCTTCTTCTTCAGAAAGCAATGTTGTGTTTTCTGCATAATGTAGGTTATTGATGAATCTTCCTCCAATCCTGACGACACATTTTTTTTTCAAATCCAGTTTCTCAAATGATTTGTTTAGCACAGAGGTTAAAATTATAAAGAAAGGTCAGTGCAATACAGGAAGGCCCTCAATGAGATGGGCTGACATGGTGATTGTAATAAAGCGCTCAAGCATACGAGTGACTTTCGGGATGCTCCATGACATTGACTGTTTCACTCTGTTGTACACTGGGTTCCTGCGACTCAGAACCAACTCAATGGCACCTAGTCACAGAAATAAATGAGTAACTGCAATATACACCTTCTTTCAAGTGCAAATGGCACATTTGTCAAGACAATCCCTATGATGGACTCAATGCAAGTTTCAATGAACTCCATAGAAATCTACTGGGGGCGGGGGGCGGGGTGGGGGAGGAAGGAATGAGTCTGTTGCAAGTAAAAACAGGACAATAGTGAATTGCTTTTTTGTCTCTTCCTTTATAATTTTGAGTTCTACTCTAACATGGGACATTTTCCAATACCTAGCAATCTAGTTTGCTAGCAATTCTTGTATGTATACAAGGAGCTCTGTAGTGTAAGCTGTAGAGAGTTGGGCTGATAAACCTTTCTAGGGAAGGTGGTTTTTCTCTGGTGGTTTCAATTCACCAGCCACTCCAAGGGAGAGAGATGGACAGGCTCCTCCTGTGTGACTTACAGCCTCTAAAAAAAAAAAATCCCTGGAACAAACTAGTGGTTGGTTCTAACTAAACCTCAATTGGATTTAAGATCCAGTGTTTGTACTGGCTTCTTCAATCTATCACATAAGTAAGGCTTTTTAAGTAGCAACTGTAAGGAATAGTAAGACTTGAACTTAATCTCTTTGTTGCTGGGTTCTGCAGTTCCCCATTCTCAGAAAGTGCACTCTCCCACCTGAAGCTTGGCACCATATGATTTAGAGGCTACCACACTGTTGCTTAAGATTTTCTAAAATAATCTCTGTTGCCACTGAGGACAATGAACTTCTGCAAAAGGGAAGCTGCCAATTAGGGATTCTTTCTGTAGATCCTGCTACACAGTTTGCTTCAGATCTTAAATAAAGACTCTGAAATTAAATTTGGTTGTGGCTCTAACCAAAAAACTCGGAGAAGGGCTTGCCTGAAAATGCGTGGTAATGGCTTTTTCCAGGAAAGAGAACTCATGTCTTTTGTCACATCATCAAGAGATATCATGACCTCTAAAATGTTAACAGAGCTATGGCATCAACTGGAACCCTCCAGGGAGAAAGATGGGCAGTCCATTCCCGTAAAAATGTACAGCCTTGGAAACCGGTGGATGAATCTGCAGCAACTTCACGGCAACGAGTCTGAAAGAATCTTCAGGAATGCTGCGGGGATGGTGGTGAGAGCTGAATGTTACTACTTGCCCCACAACGTGGTTGTCTGCTTCTGTGTAGATTACCTCGTGGGAACCTGACGAGGGAGTTCTGCTTTCTTTTGTTCTGTACTGTCTTTATGAGCTGGATTCGCCTGGGCTGGAGTGTGTTTTGTTTTGTTGTTGTTGTTATGTGCCTTCGAGTCGCTTGCGACTCATAGCGACCCTATGTACAACAGCTCTAAACTCTGCTCTGCCCTGTGCCAATCTCACTGTCTCTGACACACTCATCCCGATTGCCGAATCAATCCATCTCCCAGAGGGCCTTCCCCTCCTGCACCTGCCCTCCACCCACACCAGCAGCCAGGAAATTAAAAGACGTATTGTGATGAGAAAGTCTACTGTTAGGGACCTCTCTAAAGTACTCAAGAGCAACGGTTTGTCTCTGGAGACTAAGGTGTGTCTGGTATAGTCTTTGCAATCATCACTTGTTATGTGTCAGAGAGCTGGACAATGACCAGGAAGGACAGAAGGAGAATTGATGCTTTTGAGCTTTGGTGTTGGAGAAAAGTGCTGAGGGTGCCATGGACTGCTAAGAAAACAAACAGATTCATCCTGGAGAGGGTTAAACCGGGCTGCTCCTTGGAGGTAAGGATTCTGAGACTTCTTGTTTTGTTTTAGTTTTATAAAATAGGTGCGCATTTTAGCTCATGAACTATCTAGCTCTGTTTCTCTTTCTTTGTCTCTGATACAGGGTTGTAGCAAAACATATTTGCTGTTCTCACTGGCTTCACTAACAGAAGGAATAAATGTGCTTCATGAACAGAAGCTGCCACCATGATTTCCACTTAATATGTTGGAGGACTGGTGGCCTATTGTTAAAGAGTTGTGCAGCCAATCCAATGACTGGCAGTTCAGAATACACCAGTGGCTCCAGGGGACAAAGATGAGCAATCTCCTTCTCCTCTCTCCTCCCATTTTCCTCACAGCGGTTTACAATCTCTGAAAACCTGCTGGAAGGTCCACAATATAGAAGCTGTAATGACCACTAATTAAGAGCTATTAAGCCTTCTTTGGGGATTAAGAACCCTCTCCTAAAACAATGCTTATGTATTGTGGGAAGGCGAATGCCAGCATAGTATAGACAGACAGTAACTCATCAAAAGTTGACCCATACATCTTTGAACCTCAATTTTAGATTCCTCATCTGTGAAAAAGTGCTATAAGTAGTCACTGTGAGTTTTGTTGATTGGTATCCAGTCTTGTCTCTCTCACACCCAGCCTCTTTTTTTTATCAT